TATAATTCATGTAGGTTAGAAAGTACAGTAAGTTAGAGACAAGTACAAACTGTCCACACACTCAAGTTTTAATTCTGCTCTATTTTCTGTTCTATGCATGAGTACCAGGCTGGTCAATTAAAAATCATTTAATTTAAGTGGGTAATACTGTATGACTTCAGATGTATTATCTGCATATTCATCCTTGGCATTTTCTATGCAGACTAGGTAATAAATTGGAAAATGGCATATGTCCCCATTAAAAGGACATCTTTATAGAAGTCAAGCGAGTTGGAACAGGCCATTACTCTGCCTCTCCCACAGATCACTGAAGCAGTGGAAATACACAGGCACCATATGACCACCCTGACACGCTTATTAATATTGTTGACAACTTTCAAACTTCTGATATGCCATAGAACAAAAGCTCATGTTCTTGTCAATTACTGAGCTGGAGTGGATTTATCATTTGTTACACTGAAACTAAAAACAACTAAAAATGCATCCATACAAGATTGCTGTGCACAATCTCAACTCATCTGTACCCTATTTGTATGCAATTATTATTATTATTATCATTATATTTTATTTTATTTTTTTACTTCCTGTTACTTTAATGCCCTCAGTTAGAATTATAGCATCAAACTCAATACTGGAATGTTGTTGTGGTTGTACAATGTTCTCAAGTAGATTCAGACGACTGGTTTACTAGAAAGAAAAAGAAAATATATATAAAAGCAGTGTTTTGGTGCACAAGTTTTTAATCTAAATAAATCAAAATAATTAAATCATTCAACAGTCATTAAAAATGTTAGTTAGTGGCTGTTGTACCCTTAAGCGTGGAACTGAACCTCAGGCTGTTCAAGATCCTCTCTGCCTCTGTCTCTCTCTGACTAAAAGTGTACTGTAAGTTTCTATGGCAAAATCCTGTTAAATGAGAATTAACCAAGGAGAGAAAGTGAAAGGGATAAGCATGCAGTAAAAAAATCTTGAATCGTTGGGAAACCACATTTGAGTGATTATATATATCACTGAAGCAGTGGAAATACACAGGCACCATATGACCACCCTGACACGCTTATTAATATTGTTGACAACTTTCAAACTTCTGATATGCCATAGAGGATTTATCCTCTGATCCTACAAGCAAATGTCTTTGTGCCATGTGCTGATCCAAGTTACTGATTCATGGCAGAAATTTCAAAAGTGCCAGTAATATCGTAAAATTTGAGAAAGGAAAAGGTTATGTTTCAACATTTGAATCCATGACCAAACCTGTCCAAATTTCAGTCATTTTTGCAAATACTTTACGCTTTTTATTAATTTCGTAAGTTTGAACAATGATTTTCAATATTATACAATTCTGCTTATAATTATAACTTATAACTACTTATATTATATTTCTAGTATTAATGCATTATCTCCTTACTGAAAACTGAGTAATGAATAATAATGCAGGTTATGGTTGGTTGGCTAAATAATTAAACCTTTTCAAGGTTTAGTTAGTTATCTGCAACTCTAATCCAATACAAACTAAAACTTAAAGTATGTCTGCTTTTTCTGATGTGTTTGGTACATTTCTAAAAAAAGGGCTGCATGTTTGGCAGCTAATTTATTTAGTTCCAGTTCCAGACAAGGAAAAAAAAAAAGTTTCATAATTCTCTCTCTGTCTACATCTTTCTTGGACTGAAACAACTTTCTCTCTATGTTCATCTCCATCCTCCCACAGACATGAGGTTCCATTTAGGAGACCTTGGATGTGACTCAGACAAGCGTCCTGGTTTGTATACATCGTTTCCTTCATATTTTTAACATATTCATTAGATGATTTTTATTATTTTATTTATTTATTTATCTTTATACACCTCACTTTGTGATAGCAAGTTCACAGTAACTCTTGATGGATCTTGGACATTTATCCAGGTCAAAACTGAATGATGATTTAAAGTGACAAAATGGCGTTACTGGTCTGTAAGGCACTGATGGCATATTCATGCATATTCATAGGTTTGATGCGCTGATGATGCTAATTAAAGCAACCCTGCTGAAAATTAAATGGACATGACCAAATGAGGACAGGCATTGATGGTGGGCAATAAACAACAAAACAATGTTTGGGAAAATAGTCTATCACCAGAATGCAATTATCTATTTGCTTGTATTTATACATTTTACTTCTTGTTTACTCTGGATGTTTTTTGCACTGAAATATTGCAAGAAGAAAAGTTAGTTTGCAAACTTTGCAAGTGAACAATACATCACTTGAAGTGCTCAGAGCTGTGGTCACTCCTTTGACTAAACAGCCATTAACATCAACAACTCAGCTCTGGATGGCAAGAAATGTCAAGCTGACGAATTATACAGCAGTAGAGAAATATGAAAGCACTTTGAGACTAGTGCTCCTGCAGAGAATCAGATAGAAGGCAAAACCTCTTTTGCAAGTTCCGTATGTAGAAAATCAATGAGTTCTGGTCAGAGGCTCTTCACCACAGTACCTACCCCATTTCAAGAGCTCAAGCGCTGTTAATGATAAGACGAGGGCACACAATCAACCGCAAGCCTTTTCACATCTTTGGCTTTGTGGAAGTTGGGTCAGCTTAGTGTCAACTAAGTCTCCTCGCAGACAAACAAAGAAAAAAGACAGTACAACATTCCCGAGACCAGCCACAGCTGATCAAATTAGGTATTGACCAAATGCCAAGAATTGAGTGCTAGATGCTTTTTTGAGCCAGAGCCCAGTTAGTCTTTACCAGAATCCTTGTCTGCATAGTATGAAACAACATTAGTATGAATTATACTACAGTAATACAACATGAACTTCCAGTACAAAGCACTTACCAGTTTTTTTTTTTTTAGGTTGTTTATATTACATATACTAAATAAGATCATATGTACAGTCAGCCGGTCAATAACTCTACAACTACTTAATATAACAACTACGCAGCTGACTGTATGTTATCCCATCTTTTCATACTAAAGAAATAAATAAAAAGACATACAATATAGTGGGTATAGAAAAGAATCGCCCCTTTAAAATAATCACAATTTGCTGCTTTGCAGTCTGAAATGAAGACAGACACAGTTTTTGTTTTATCCAGCTGTATTTACTCTGTGCAACGTATAACATCCAAGTGAAAGACATAACACCAACATGTCAGAAAAAAATAAATAAAAACAGATTCACTGAGTTGAAAAAGGATCACCCCCTTGGGTCAGTATTTTGTTCAACCACCTTTTGCTTTAATTACAGTCTTTAGTCTGTTGGAATATGCCTCTACTAACTTTGGACATCTAGGGGCCTCATTTATAAAATGTTGCATATAAACCGTCCTAAATTTGTTCTAAGATAATTTCTCAAAAGTGCGTAAGTGCGATTCAGAGAAAATGAACGTGCTCACAAAAACACGTGCGTACGCTTCTGTTCAAGATGTGACATTTATAAAACGCAAATGGTCTTGAAATTGTGCGCAGCTGACTGGATCAGATTTGATCAGATGCCAAAATCTGTGGCATGGCAGTGTGTAGCACAGGCTGTGAACGAGGTAGGGGGCAGAAAAGGTCCCTAAAAGAAGTAAAAAAAAATGGTCCGACTTGAAATTACAATCCAAAAAGCATGTTGCACGACACAGAAGCAATGTGCAGGCCACAGGACACACCGGACCAAATTGTTGCCTGTTGTTGACGACTGTGCAGAAGGTGATACAGATATTTTGTCTGCACCAGCTTCAGAAGATATGCTGACATGTGATAAATTATAGATTATCGAAACCGAGTGTTGTTTTGATTGTGTGATTTTATTACTGTAGATGATGAACATTTACAAAGGAAAACAGCCCCTAGTAGATCTGTCTCCCAAACTGCAACAGCATCAAGCAACACTTCCGTTCAGGAGGAATCCCCCAGGCCATCAACATCCACCTCGAACTGTCCTAGCCAGGGGAGAGTGCTATCTGCGGCCATCCTGCAGTCACAGAAAGAGCTGAATCAGTCAGTTTGTGATGCTGTGACTGAACTGCGACAGGTACGACAGTCCCTGGGTTCAGATGAACCAGACTTTGTGTGCTCTTGCTGATTGTTTGAAAAAAACGGTGTGTGTGTGAATAAAAGTTTCGAGTTTGAAATACTTTAAAGTTTGTTTCTCTACTGCTTCTCATAATTTTGCATTGTTGCAAAGCAGCTGTATAGAACTACACAAACTGGTATAAAATATAAAGCATACATAATGTAATGTAGCCTATTAGATTATGTAATGCAAGGTATTACTTGCATGGTGTGGTATTCTAAAAAAAAACAAAAATATGTTTCCATAAAACAGGTGGCCTTACCTGTTGAAATAACCTGTGGATTAACTGCCGTCTTCTCATGATCGCAACAGCATGTGCATTCCAGTCAGCGGGTAGTGGAGGGGGATCCTCTGGAACATCCATGCGCATTTCCTCTTCTGGCAGCCCAACCCCATAACTCATGCAGATATTGTGCAGAACACAACAAGCCAAAATAATCCTATAGGATCCTATAGGAGTCTCCCGCCCGATGCATCCAGACATCGCCACCTTCCCTTCAGTAGCCCAATTGTGCGCTCCACAACTGACCAGGAGCAGGCATGGGACATGTTATAGTAGGCTTCCTCAGCTGTCTGTGGGTGCGCTATGGGGGTGAGAAGCCATGGCTTCAGAGGATAACCTCTGTCACCTATAATTGTATAGAGAATTATTTTTGAACACGAAAATGGAAAAACAGCTAAACACAGACAGTTATTTACCTAGAAGCCATCCATCTCTACCTGCTCCTGCCTCTAGTCGATTGCCCACGCTGCAGTTGCGCACAATGAAGGAGCCGTGCGTCGATCCTGGCCATCTTGCATCTGCATTAAGAATTGCCATAAGAGCATTGCAAATTAACTGTACATTAATTGAATCGAAATGTTTCCTATTAACATACAGATATTCATGTGCATGAGGTGCTCGTATGGCAACGTGAGTGCAATCTACTGCACCTAGGACATTGGGGAATCCTGTTTGGCGCACAAAATCATCCATAACATGCTGCTGCTCCTCGGCAGTGTATGGGAACTTTATGTATCAAGTGGACAATTGGACGATGCCTTGAAGCTCAGCTGGCATAAGTCTACTCACAGATGGCTGGGATATTCCTGATTGGTCACCAATCTGTCTTTGAAATGTTCCCGTGGCCAGGAACCCAAGCACGGAGAGCAGCTGTACCTCCACAGGTATGGCCTGGTTGCAGTTGGTGCGTCTCTGTATATTAGGGCCTATCTGGGCACAAAGATGTAACAGTGCAGCTCTTGGCAAACGGTACCTGCTTATCAACCATTCGTCGCCATACGCAAAAAATCTGCCCGATCTCTAAAAACACGTTGTCTTCTCATTGCACGGTTTGCAATATCTTCAAGAAGTGCTAATGCTGCCATTCTGCCTCTTGCAAACTACTTCATTGGTGCGTCTCTGTATATTAGGGCCTATCTGGGCACAAAGATGTAACAGTGCAGCTCTTGGCAAACGGTACCTGCTTATCAACCATTCGTTGCCATACGTGAAGAAATCTGGCTGATCTCTAAAAACGCGTTGTCTTTTCATTGCGTTGTTTGTAAAATCTTCAAGAAGCCCTTATGCTGCCATTCTGCCTCTTGCAAACTACTTCATCATAGGCCATTTTATTTTAGACAAATATAACTGATGGAAATGACAAAAACAAAGTTTAAAGCTGATATGTCTCTATTCATTTTCACAGAAGCAAAGCAGAAGATGTTATAAATAAAAACAGTTTACAACGTTATTGAATAGAATATATTAAAACCGTTATTGCACGACATAGGCCTATTCTTATAGGCTACACAGACAAAACAGTCGGAGATGTGTTTATGCATTGTCTTTTCTATTTTACATATTACTAGTAAATCAAGACTTTGCAAGTTCTCTTGTAAAATAAAATAATAATAAAAAAAACAACAACATGGAATAAACTGTGTACAAAAAGCGAGTAAAGAACTCTCAACATTAGGCTACTAAAAAGGTCAGTTTAATCTCGCAAAAGCTCCCGTTAATAAAAAATATGACTACACTGCACAATTAATCTCTTACACTGCATCTTTGTTGTTTATGATGAATTCGGTGCTTGCACGTACACTGCTTTTATTATTATTGCAGCTTAGATGTTCAAATAGCTGCAGTACTCCGACTTTGCCACAAGGAAAAGTGCGTACGCCTGCTCAGACCCTGACGTGGTGGTAAATACTTTTTCACGTCAAAGACCGTTTTTATAAATATGAACGTTGCCGTGGATTTTAGCGTACGCACACTCTAAGATCAAATCTGTGCGTATGCACATTTTATAAATGAGGCCCCATGACTTTGCAATATTTGCCCACTCTTCTTTGCAGAACTGCTCAAGTTCAGTTCAATTTGAGGGTGTCCGTTTGTGGACTGCAGTCTTCAAGATTGCAGTTTAGTGTTGAGACCAAATAATTCAATTTTAGTCTCATCTGCCTCAGAATCTTCAAGGTGTGTTTTGGCGAAAGCTCAGTCGTGACTGCATGTGGCCTTTCTTGAGGAGTGGCTTTTTTCTTGCAACTGTAACCCTCCTCTAAAGGGTAAGTACACACTAGGTTCGGATACTCAAATCAGGGTCACTTAATTCTAGTATAGTGAATTGCACAACCAAAAGTTATTGATAACCACACAAATTACCATTTCACATGAACTGTATTGAAGTAACAAATATAACACAATTGTTATTCCAAGAACATAAATAAAGTGTGGTGACCAAAAAAATGTTTCCTTTAGTGGAAATCAGTTCTGTCTTTTGGTTCCAAAAAAACAAGTGAAGCAAAATTTAAAAAAATAATTCAACAAAAAAAAATCTGGAATTTAGGAGAAAGGGAAAAAACTGCACTCAAGGGTCCACTGAGATCCTACCGCACAGTGTTATCACATGAGACATCCAGCAGCAATCGACTGGCTCGCCATCTTCCCTCCGGAAGAATTCAAATGCATACAAAAACCTGGCTGAGCTTCAAATCCAATGGTTCAAGTGTTCATGACGACCTCAATCATCGTTTTCGAGTGATTATCAGTTTGCAATTTATGTAAATACAATGCATTTATAGAGTAATCAATTCAAACTTCCCTGCATCTGCACGACAGATCATTTTATCACTCTCTGCTAATACTCGCTCGCATCGCCACAGAAAAAGGGCGGAGCTTCTTGTTTTTTTTCCCACCAATAGCAAATTTCCATCTGCTAACTCACACTTGTTACGAGGCAGATTTCCTGATATCAGGGGCAAGTTCAAGCTCAAACCGGTGTGCACCGTTTTGCTACGGTTTCCGGTTTGAATGACATGTTTCCTGGAAACGGTGTGCAATGGTGTGCAACGGGGTTTGAGATGCGTTTTCTCTTGTTTGGTGGGTGTGTCAAACATGTCAGCCCAATCAGCAGCAACATGTATTAATAATAATAATAATAATAATAATAATAATAATAATAATAATAATAATAATAATAATAATAATAATAATAATAATAATAATAATAATAATAATAATAATAATAATAATAATAATAATAATAATAATAATAATAATAATAATAATAATAATAATAAATGCTGTTTATTTGAACTTTCTATTTACCAAATAATCCCAAGCAGCATCAAGGTTGCATCACAGTTTTTACAAAAATATTAAGCAGCACAACTGTTTTCCATATTGATAATAATAATAACCAAATCAGCATATTAGGATGATTTCTGATGGATCATGTGACACTGAAGACTGCAGTGATGTCTTTGCCATCAAAAGAATAAATTACATTTTAAAGTGTATTAAAATAGAAAACAGCTATTTTAAACTGTAATAATATTTCAAAATAGTATTGTTTGCGCTGTATTTGATCAAATAAATGCAGACTTGATGAGCATAAGAGATTTCTTTCAGAAACAATGTTAAATGTTAAGAGCGCATATTGAACTTGATTGCATGTCTTTATATGACAGCAAACAGAAAGGTGAGTGCATTCTGTTACAGGCATGATGTTCCTCACAATCTCATTTACTCATTACTTACTAAATCAAATAAATAAATAAATATTAGCCTATGTTTTATAATCCATCTCCAAATGTGCAAGCTAAGCGTTTTATTCTGCAATGATGCATTAACTTAAGGTGTGAGAGATGGTTAGATGCCCCCCTCTCTTTCTTTGCACTCTCTTTGATAGTACCATCCATTTTTCATGATCAGTGTAATGCCAATGAGTTAAATACTAATCCATCTGAGAGCTGAGAGACAGCGGATGGACACCAGGAGGAGCAGACAGGGTGAAATGAAACAGATATTGTACCACACTACACGACACATTGAAACCTTTGATAAAAGCAGATCTAGATTGAACAAGTGGCGCTTTGCTGTGTTAGGCCTTGTTATGAATTTATTTTTGTCATAAAAAACACTTACTCTGAAAATACAAGTATTAGACAAATGCACTGGACCAGTATGATGACACTAATAAACAACCAAATAACTTGCTGAAATGTTTACAATCTTGCGCTGAAATAGGGACGAAGTAGTGATTCGCGTACTGCAGAGAAAGTCGGCTTGCTTTTTTAACGCAAATCCTACTGGATTAGACTATTTTGATATAAATGGGGCACATTATACTGCATGTCTGGACAATAAGGGTGTTTTTGCATTTGTTTATTCGCAGGGGTTAACAAAAGACCTCCGGTTGATTGGTCTCATGCACTCAAGGATAGTGAAGAGACACAAACAAGTGGATCAGTACTGTACTAGATCTGTCCAAACACATCTGCACACCAGCATGTCTTGTTAATTAGGCAGAGAGACTTTAATACTTTAATCAGAAAAATGTAAGCTTAAAAAAAAACTGAAAGAAAAGAGAAGCTTTCTAACTGACTCTCAGCTATGAAAGGCAGGGACTGATTGAAAAGTTTACTCTAAACTAATTAAACCTGAGAGAACATGTCAAAGGGCAAAGCAGACACAATTAACTACCCAGGCTTCTCATGTGTACTACTGCAAATGATGCTATGCCCCGGACTGAAATAGCATGTATAGAAGTCTCTGAGCATTCATCCTCTGCAAACATTGGTTCCTCTTCAGGAACTCGAGCTGCGTCGAAAACGCTAGGGGAAACGCCTTCTGCGACCCACGCTCTGAATCACATGTGAAATCAGTCCAATAGCTGAACGGGACATCACGGCGGATGACGTCATGACCAGGAAGCTATAAAAGCACGTGCGGCGGAGCCAGCGTCAGCTTTCTGTCATTCAGCGAAGCGCTCTGTGTGTGACTGCCAAATGTATCTCAATGGGTCCTGCGTACTGTAGAAAGAGGCTACGGAATCCAGTTCGGTTCTCGTCTGCCTCGATTCAACGGGGTCACCCCCACGCTAGTGGGTCCCGAGCAGGCTCTGGTATTAGAACAAGAAGTAGTTACTCTTTTAAGGAAGGAGGCCATCAAGGTGGTCCCTTCGCACGAGATAGACTCCGGGTTCTACAGCCGTTACTTCATTGTTCCGAAGAAGGATGGGGGGCTGCGTCCCATTTTAGATCTGCGCCTATTGAACCGCTCAGTCATGCGACTGAAGTTCAGAATGCTCACACTCAAGCAAGTCGTGTCTCAGATCAGGTCCGAGGACTGGTTTGTCACGATCGATCTGAAAGACGCGTATTTCCATATCTCCATCCTTCCTCATCACAGGAAGTTCCTGAGGTTCGTTTTTGGGGGCAAAGCGTACCAATATCGTGTTCTTCCTTTCGGCCTTGCACTCTCACCCCGTACTTTCACGAAGTGTGTGGATGCTGCTCTGGCTCCGTTGCGACTCCAGGGCATCCGCATACTCAACTACATCGACGATTGGTTGATTTTAGCTCATTCAGAGCAGATAGCGGTTCGACATCGAGATGTTGTTCTCGCTCACATGAGAGAGTTGGGGTTAAGACTAAACGCCAAGAAGAGTGTGCTTTCTCCATTACAGAGAACCACCTATCTGGGCGTGGTGTGGGATTCGACCACGATGCAGGCACGTTTGTCTCCTGCTCGGATCGAGTCGATCCTCACTACAGTCAAGAGAGTGAAAGAAGGCCAGTCACTCACTGTCAAGCAGTTTCAAAGACTGCTGGGTCTGATGGCAGCTGCGTCCAACGTGATTACTCTTGGCCTGCTGTACATGAGACCCCTACAGTGGTGGCTCAAGACCAGGGGGTTCTCCTCGAGGGGAAACCCGCTTCGCATGTTCAAGGTCACGCGGAGATGCCTACGTGCCTTAGACATGTGGAGGAAGCCTTGGTTCTTGTCTCAGGGCCCGGTGCTGGGAGCTCTTTGTCGCCGCGTGACGCTAGCGACAGATGCATCCCTCACCGGTTGGGGTGCGGTCATGAGTGGCCACCCTGCCCGCGGTCTGTGGAGTGGTCGCCATCTGACTTGGCATATCATCTCCCCTCGCCGTTAGGGTCAAGGCTCACTCGACTCGAAGTGTGGCAGCCTCTAAGGCTTTCTTAGCGGGTGTGCCTATGCAGGACATCTGCAACGCTGCGGGTTGGTCCATGCCCCTTACCTTTGTTAGGTTTTACGAGCTAGACATGCTAGCCACTCCCGGCTCTTCCGTTCTCTCGCCCTAGTTGTGCAGTGTTCCACACAAAGCAGAGACTTGGAAGTCTGGCGGCGTGGGCATTCTCGTTCCCCTAGCGTTTTCGACGCAGCTCGAGTTCCTGAAGAGGAACGTCTCAGGTTACGTATGTAACCCTAGTTCCTCGAGGGGACGAGACGCTGCGTCTCTGTGCCATACTTCCGGCGTCCCTGCCGGCGCTTGCTTCATTCCTAGAAGCTGACGCTGGTCTCACCGCACGTGCTTTTATAGCTCCTGGTCATTACGTCACCCGCCCGTGACGTCTCGCCCAGCTATTGTACTGATTTCACATGTGATTCAGAGCGTGGGTCGCAGAAGGCGTTCCCCTAGCGTTTTCGACGCAGCGTCTCATTCCCTCGAGGAACTAGGGTTACATACGTAACCTGAGACGATATACGTATGTAACCCTAGTTCCTCGAGGGAACGACACTGCATCTCTGTGCCATACTTCCGGCGTCCCTGTCGGCGCTTGCTTCATTCCTAGAAGCTGACGCTGGCTCCGCAGCACGTGCTTTTATAGCTTCCTGGTCATGACGTTATCCGCCGTGACGTCCCGTTCAGCTATTGGACTGATTTCACATGTGATTCAGAGCGTGGGTCGCAGAAGGCGTTTCCCCTAGCGTTTTCGACGCAGCGTCTCGTTCCCTCGAGGAACTAGGGTTACATACGTAACCTGAGACGTTTTCCCTACGCTTAGTGTCAGGGAGCACCCTATGATTACTCCAGAGGTGAACCTTGATTACATCTCACAATGCCACAGGACTCCATTTGTGATTAAAATTGGGGCTCTCAGTTGGAAAGATGAATACATTGATATTAACAGTTCAGCTAAATGACACCTCAAAGTGATTCTTTTGAATTTAACGAGCACAAGCCACGTGGATCAAATTAAATGACTAGAGTTTGAATTCAGGACCTTGACACTGGGGAGAATATGGCACATGGCTGTACAGCTCAACAATTAAACTTGTCTAAACTCATTAAATGGAATAAATTAGAGCAAAACCAGAGTAGTCTTGAGTGAAAAAAACAAAACAAAATGTTTTGCTTTGGAGATGTGACAGTACAATGTCTCGCTGGGCTGCTTTAATGCTGGATGGTGATTCTGTAAAAGCGTGTGTTTTGCATCTGATATTTTAGAAGACATAATCATGCCATGAGGGAATTTTGCAAGCAACCAGGACCTCTTCCCTCAACAGAAGTACAGTCTTAAAATACAAGTCTAATGGACTGTCTAGACAAAGGATTCTTCTCAAACTACGGACCTGCATACAGTATCTGCAATCAAGTAACCTAGTTACATTTGTTATGTGTTAGGGGTGTCAACATGTCAGCTATGGTTTAAACATGTTAAAATTTGAGTGAATATTCTTGGAAAACTAGAACTTTTTTCTAAGCTACGAATTATAATTCTGTAAGAAGGTTATACGGTACTCATAGGAGACATGTAATGCTATTTTACAAATGTTATTTTTACAAAAAGAAGAGGAAAGTAGACAGAATTCAGTTGAATTTGTTTAAGCTAATATAGGGGTCTGTTTAGGAAAAGGTGTTGCTCTGATTCCTCAGTGTTCGTTTACAATTAAGAATGCAGTTGGCATCACTTTAATGTATGTTCCACCCATTTTAGCTCTGGGATTTGGAGCAATATGAGATATGACAACAGAAGTGACAATGCATAGGAACTCTGAGGAAAACAATGTCAATAAACGTCTTTGAGATGCAACACTGAGAGGCATTTATGTAAATAAAAGAAAAACCCTATTCTGGTAAATGACACCGCTGCTTAGGCAAAAAAAAAAAAACATTGGGGAAAATGGCGTGTAAATGATAAGAAATACAACTGATTTAACTACAGAGGGAGTGGAAAGAGACAATAACAACTACCTTCTGTACTATTCAGAAAAAAAAAAGGTTTATTTAAACAGGTTTAAACATATAAACAGGTTTATTTACAACTCATTTTCTTTGCATTGACCATACAGCATTCAGTAACATTTCCAAAAACAATCTAATTCTTTATATTCTAAAATTAATTCTACGATTGCTTGGTAAATCTTCACATATCTTGTTTATAACTGTGCTCATATTTTTTTTTACCCAAAAACCATGATGTACATGGAAGACAGCACCAGCTAAATTGATATACAGTACACACTGATCCTTGGTGAGCGTCCAGTGTGCAATGCATTGATTCCAGCATGTGAGAGACTGCAGTGCAGTATGTGTCATAATACAGTGCGCAAATGTTACGTTGCTTCTCTTTTGACTTACATATGCTAAGGACTGGTGTAACTGACAAGAATATGTTACAAAATACACCACAAGATTTACTTTGAAGCTTTGAGAGATACACAAAAACAAAATAATTCTTGAAACTGTGGTCAAAACTATTTATTGAAATCATAGCTAAGAAGTTCTATCAACTATTTTCAACACTATTAGTGCCTTATAACAGGCCTTAAAATGGGCTTTTAAAATGGGAGTGTAATGTCTGCTGATTGAATTTACAGTGTCCCATAAAATGTAATTTATTTGATCTAGTCTGTTATTGTTTTATGTAGTGTCAACAGGGAACAGTGGGTTATTAGTTTTGATCTTCCATTATGTGATTTTAATTTTCTTCTAACTTTAACCCTAAGAAACACTGTAACTAAGGTAAGCATATAGACGTCCATTTAAAATGCAAAGTCAATGTGGCTGGATGGTTTTGACATTTACTTTTCATTTTCCATAGGCTCTTTGAAGAGCCACTATGTCTCTTTTTACACATATGATACTCTCTCTCTAATTAAATGAAGTGAAACAGCCTTGTGTAGCAGTTTCATGGATTTCATTTATGTCAGCAAGTTTCCAAAGGCACCCATCTGAATTTCAAATGATAAATGTAAATATAAATCCCACTCTTAGTGTAGCAATTACATTAAATCCCACATTATGGAAATAAAGACAAAACCAACAAAACATAATTTAATTTTCTGCATTTAGTTCCTCATTGGAGTACAGGGAGAGGAACAGTGCATTTAATTGACTAATTTCTTCGTGCTTAGTCTTCACTGAAAACCTTATTAAGTTGACTATAAGTGAAATATTTATATAGCACCAAAAGAAGGTTATACGGTACTCATAGGAGACATGTAATGCTATTTTACAAATGTTATTTTTACAAAAAGAAGAGGAAAGTAGACAGAATTCAGTTGAATTTGTTTAAGCTAATATAGGGGTCTGTTTAGGAAAAGGTGTTGCTCTGATTCCTCAGTGTTCGTTTACAATTAAGAATGCAGTTGGCATCACTTTAATGTATGTTCCACCCATTTTAGCTCTGGGATTTGGAGCAATATGAGATATGACAACAGAAGTGACAATGCATAGGAACTCTGAGGAAAACAATGTCAATAAACGTCTTTGAGATGCAACACTGAGAGGCATTTATGTAAATAAAAGAAAAACCCTATTCTGGTAAATGACACCGCTGCTTAGGCAAAAAAAAAAAAACATTGGGGAAAATGGCGTGTAAATGATAAGAAATACAACTGATTTAACTACAGAGGGAGTGGAAAGAGACAATAACAACTACCTTCTGTACTATTCAGAAAAAAAAAAGGTTTATTTAAACAGGTTTAAACATATAAACAGGTTTATTTACAACTCATTTTCTTTGCATTGACCATACAGCATTCAGTAACATTTCCAAAAACAATCTAATTCTTTATATTCTAAAATTAATTCTACGATTGCTTGGTAAATCTTCACATATCTTGTTTATAACTGTGCTCATATTTTTTTTTACCCAAAAACCATGATGTACATGGAAGACAGCACCAGCTAAATTGATATACAGTACACACTGATCCTTGGTGAGCGTCCAGTGTGCAATGCATTGATTCCAGCATGTGAGAGACTGCAGTGCAGTATGTGTCATAATACAGTGCGCAAATGTTACGTTGCTTCTCTTTTGACTTACATATGCTAAGGACTGGTGTAACTGACAAGAATATGTTACAAAATACACCACAAGATTTACTTTGAAGCTTTGAGAGATACACAAAAACAAAATAATTCTTGAAACTGTGGTCAAAACTATTTATTGAAATCATAGCTAAGAAGTTCTATCAACTATTTTCAACACTATTAGTGCCTTATAACAGGCCTTAAAATGGGCTTTTAAAATGGGAGTGTAATGTCTGCTGATTGAATTTACAGTGTCCCATAAAATGTAATTTATTTGATCTAGTCTGTTATTGTTTTATGTAGTGTCAACAGGGAACAGTGGGTTATTAGTTTTGATCTTCCATTATGTGATTTTAATTTTCTTCTAACTTTAACCCTAAGAAACACTGTAACTAAGGTAAGCATATAGACGTCCATTTAAAATGCAAAGTCAATGTGGCTGGATGGTTTTGACATTTACTTTTCATTTTCCATAGGCTCTTTGAAGAGCCACTATGTCTCTTTTTACACATATGATACTCTCTCTCTAATTAAATGAAGTGAAACAGCCTTGTGTAGCAGTTTCATGGATTCCATTTATGTCAGCAAGTTTCCAAAGGCACCCATCTGAATTTCAAATGATACATGTAAATATAAATCCCACTCTTAGTGTAGCAATTACATTAAATCCCACATTATGGAAATATAGACAAAACCAACAAAACATAATTTAATTTTCTGCATTTAGTTCCTCATTGGAGTACAGGGAGAGGAACAGTGCATTTAATTGACTAATTTCTTCGTGCTTAGTCTTCACTGAAAACCTTATTAAGTTGACTATAAGTGAAATATTTATATAGCACCAACCCTCTAAAATGTTTTTTTTTTTTTTCTTATAGATCTAGTATTTGAATGAAATATCAATGTGCAATGAAATACTGTAGCGATATTTAAATGGCATTGCAGTATTTACACTGCCCTGGTTCTTGACAACAGTGCATGTAGAGTGGATGTAAAAGGATAACAATGAAGATGAAAATCCGAATTCTTAAATTCTGAAACATTTAAGAGGGAAAAAGTGGCATTCAAGCAGTATTCTAGAAATAAAATGCTCAGTAAAATGTGGTGGCATCTCTTCAATGAGTCAGGTTTACACAACATTAAAAGACGTATGGATTTTAGCCTACAGGAATGCAAAATAATCATTATTCCAATGGACATAGCAACAGTTATAAATAGGTCCATGAAGTTCTTGGGTAGTCTAATCTTTATTGTCAAATTGTCTCTATTTGTCTTATTGATCAGTATCCGTGTGGTGGAATGAACATTTTTCCAGTAAGAGCAATGCTGTTTGGGGGAGTTGGACTGTGGTCTTTCTCTCTGAAAGCAAAATTTCAAGTGCATACCTATAATGCACAGCATTAAAACATACACTACCATTTAAAAGTTTGGGTTAGTACTTTTTTTTTTTTTTTGAAAGAAACAAACATACTTTATACAGCAATGACATATGAAACTGACTTTTTCCATTGTTACAAACAAAAAATCTATTTCAAATGAATGCTGTTCTTTTGAAGTTTCCATTCATCAAAGATTCCTGGGGGAAATAAATCACAATATCACAGTACCAAATTCTTCACTGATTTCTGAAGGATCGTATAACACTGAAAAATGGAGCTGTTGAAAATTTCCCTCACAGGAATAAATTATATAAAAATATAAAACAGTTATTTTAAACTGTCATAATATTTCGCAATATTGTTTTTGCTACTTTATTTCGATCAAATAAATGCAGCCTTGAAGAGCTTAAGAGACTTCTTTCAAAAACATTCAAAAATCGTACCTACATCAAACCTGGGCTGCGTTTCCCGAAACCTTCTTAACGTTACGTCGTTCGTAAGTTATACCATAAGTTGTGCCTTTACGTTAATACGTGTTTCCCGAAACGTTCTTAGTTAAGTATACCTTCTGTAAGTCATTCGTTCGAAAGGTTAGTCTGGGCCACTCTTAGCTGTTCACAGTTCACTCCGCTAGTGGCCACCACTGTGCAAAAAGCTTCTTCACATTTCAGTCGATACGATTGTAATTCTGTGGCAAGAAAAAGTGCAGAACCAAATAAATATTACAATTCTAAAGTTGTAATACACCCAGTGTTTAATTAGTGTTCAAATAATTAAAGTGTTTTTATGCAACAAATAAAACTGTCATTATACTGATGGTTGTTAGTTTTTCCATTATAATATACAAAGGCACATCGGCTGGCAAACCATTAGGCAGCACATAATTAGGAGTCTATTTAAAGGTAATGAATGTGATGGGGAGTTTGGTCAAACTATGGAAGCGAGACAGCGAATAGTTGTCCTAAATCAAAGACGGCTGCATCCGCGGAGCCAGTGAGTGTATGTGCACTATTTCATAATAGTGTCAGAATAGCTACCATGTCAAAAGATACAATTCTATAAAAATTTTGCCTGCCACAGGAGCAAATTCAGCAGCTTTTACATCTTGTTGGTCCAACTTTGTTGAGACAAACTCGACGGGGCTACCCCCTAAGCCCCGACATTCAGCTGCTGGCGGCTCTCCGTTTTTATGCTGTGGGGAGTTTTCTGGAGGTGGTTGGGGATGGATATGGGCTGAGTAAGACCTCGGTGTGGCAGTGCGTTCACTCAGTCACAAACATCCTGCTCCGTCACGCCACCGGTTACATAGCCTATATGCCTTTCGCCAGGCACGGAGTGATGGAGGCACATCAAGTCTTCCATGCCATTGCGGGTGTCCCATGAGTAATTGGCCTTGTGGACGGGACACTTATCCCCATCGCCAACCCATCAGCGCTCGACCAGGCATTCATAATATTTATACCCCTAGTTAAGGTGTATCTTTAGAGTCTCCGTAGCGTGCCGTTATTGGGAAATGCAGCCCTGAACTGTAGTGTATTACTTTACTTTTTTTTTTTTTTACATTTATCACTGTACCTTGTATTTAGGCTCCATTTTAAACATAGCTTATTGCAAAGGCACTGTCCATAGCATTCAGCAACTAACAGAAAGCATTTTCTGCAGGTAGTTTATGAACTTGTCCTCCAATAGGTTTTCCCCTAGGTGGGTTTGCACCTGTACATTTCAACAGGCAATTTACAAGATAATACCCTGCTCAAAAGATGTGGCTTTCACCAAAACTGCTTGCAACGACATGCTGTTCAATTGCTCCGTTTTACGTTCAGCTTACACATTTTCATTTCCACATTGCTGGATGTTGGGGAGCAGGAAGCACAGATGTGCTCCACAGGGCTCTCTTCTTCTCTACAGTCAGCATTTTTTCTTAAGTACCTCACATAGTGATGTTTTATTAACAAGTTTCGGGAGGGTTGACGACTGAGAAAGGACACGGCTGGGTC